ACCCCTCTTTTCTTCCTCATCCTCTTTCTTCTTCGTCTACTTCTCCTTCTTCCTCTCCCTTCTTTTCCCTTTGCCTTTTCGCCATTTTCCTCTTTTCTTGCCCTATTCCCATTTTATAAAGAGGCGTCCGCGGATCTAGAGCACCAACGTAAAAATGCATCTTGGGGTTTCTTTCCAAGAATTGCTTCCGCTCTAGATGTTCTTTAACTGTCTCGTAAGCCTTCAAGGTCACTTACAGGCTTCTTTTGCTGCGGATTTTCGCCTTAACGTCCCCTTTTTTCTCGCTCGGTCTTTATTGGCGATGGCCTCTTGTTCTATTCTGCTTTTCATTTTGATTTTTCTTCTTTGTCTTGTGTCTTGATCTTTGTCTTGTCCTTCACTTTCTCCTTCATTCTCCTTTTTTTTCTTCTTCTTCTTTGCTTTGTTTTTTCTCTTCCTTATATTGATATCGACAGAGCCCACGGACCCATTTTCTATATATATATATATATATATATATATATATATATATATATATATATATATATATATATATATGTATATATATATATATATATATATATATATATATATATATATATATATATATATATATATATATATATATATATATATATCGTTTTTGGGGTAAGACAGGTGGAGCCAGTGGGGCTTGTAATCGTGTTTCTGCTTTTCTTTCTCACTATTCCTTGCCATTTCCGTCTTTTATTATGCCCAATTTCCTTCCTTTCGCATGTTTGGCTCACATCTTGTCTTTTCTTGCTGTTCTCTCCTGTTCTCTATTTTTGTATTTTCTTCTGTTCGCTCTCTCTCTCTCTCATTCTCTCTCTCTCTCTCTCTCTCTCTCTCTCTCTCTCTCTCTCTCTCTCACCTTCTCTCCTTCCTTCCTTCCCTCCGTCTCTCCCTCCCTCCCTTCCTCTCACCTTCTCTCCTTCCCTCCGTCTCTCTCTCTCCCTCCCTCCCTCCCCTCCCCTCCCCTCCCCCCATCCCCCCTCCCCCCCTCCCCCTCCCCCCTCTACCTCTCTCTCTCCCCTCTACTTCTCCCTCTCCCCCCCTCTCTCCCTCCCTCCCTAAGTGTTCCACATCACCCCCGTTTTAGGTAAATAAACGACCTGTTGAGAATGGTTCTCGTTTAATGGGAATTGGGGATTTGATTAGCTCTCGAATGGGATTGGAGTGAATTAAACCTGCGCGGTACGGGTTGTTTAATTATTGTTTTTTTTCCCCCCAAATGTAGTTTCATGTTTATGTGTGTTTATTTCTCTCTTTTTCTGTATCTCTCTGTCTATCTGTCTAGCTATCTTTCTGTCTATCTTTTCTATCCTTTCTAATTTCATGTGTTTGTATGTTTTCATTTTTCTCTTTCTCTGCCTCGTTATACCCCGTTATGTTTATTATAACTGATCCTGTGCTGTTGGTATAAGTATTATCATATTGCTTTCAATTACTTTTAGTGCTGGTAATTGCGTCTGTATTTGTTATTATAACCTAGTTTGTCCATTGTGTTAACGTGAATTGCATGCATGTAAGCCAGTGAGCGAATGTGTGCATATCCACATGCAAATCGTGTGCATGCGGGCGGGCGGGCGAGCGGGCGTGAGCTGACGTGTACACAGCAGCGGTCGTCGTCACGCATGCCGCCCTGTGTCACGAAAATGGATCTGGCTGCGAGAGCCGATCTATACCGCAGTCCGATACCCACGTCGCACTCCTTCCCACGCGCGCCTCCGCACCCGCCCGCACGTGGACGCTGCGTAGGACAGGTGCAAAGGCTGTCTCTCTCTCTCTCATTCTCTCTCTCTCTCTCTCTCTCTCTCTCTCTCTCTCTCTCTCTGTCTCTCTCTCTCTCTCTCTCTCTCTCTCTCTCTCTCTCTCTCTCTCTCTCCTCTCTCCCTCTCTTCTCTCTCCTCTCTCTCTCTCTCTCTCTCTCTCTCTCTCTCTCTCTCTCTCTCTCTCTCTCTCTCTCTCTCTCTCCCCCGTCGCGGAGTGTGACCTTCCCTCAGGCTGAGCGGCTCTCCTGATGCCGCTTTGACGTTATGATTCGGGATGACTTACTCGTTAGGCAATCTTCTGACTGAGACGTTATTTGTTAAACATGTTAACGAGTGTTTAGGTTTGTCGCAGTCTGAAGGTGATGTCTGAATGCAGTCTTTCATCATGGATTTTTGCCTAAGGGACGGATTCATGTGCTCGATAATAAGAGAGGGTGTTTTAAGCAGTAGCTAGGTTGTTATTAAGCAATATGGAAAGTAGCGACAGTCAAGTATCTTCCTCAGCGTCATTAAAGTGATAATCAAACTGGGCATTCATACTTTCCTTCCTATCTTCTCTCCAGGTCTATTGTACATCCTTCCAATATTTATTTCCTTCTTATTTCTTCCCCGTCTCCTTCCTTGTCTTCCACGATTTCTCCCCCCCCCTTCCTCCCCCTTCTCCTTCCCTACCACCTTCCGCCACCACCCCGAAGGAATTTGCAGAAGCGATGAAAAATTCACAAGCGTTGACTGACCCACTTAGACGAACCGCCCGAAGATCATGCGGAGATTTCAGAGGAGGTCACTCACTCACTCACTCACTCACTCACTAACTCACTGACTCCCTTTTATCAATGCCTGTGCCTCATTGGACGCCCGGCGTGACGCGAGCAATAACAAGTGACGGTTCCTGGCCGAGGTGCTTTATGGAATATGCTAATCGCGGTTTTTTTCTGCCCCCGGGGTTCTCGGGAGTCAGTCAGTCGCGGAGGAAGTGAGTCGGGTGAGGTAGGCAGACAGGCAGGCAGGCAGGCAGGCAGGCAGGCAGGCAGGCAGGCATATAGACAGACGTAGGCACACTGGCAGACAGGCAGGTAAACAGGCAGACAGACAAGCAGGCAGGCGGGCAAACAATCAGACAGACTGACAGACGCATACAGACATACAGACGAGACGTAGAAGGAGAGTGAAGAGGGGATAAAAGAAAATAAAAGAGGGTCAGGGAGAGGTGGATAGGAGAAGCAGAAAGGAAGAAGAGCGGGAGAAAGAGAGAATGAGAGGAAGGAGGGGGGGGAAGAGAAGGGATATAGAGAGGAGCTCCTCCCCTTCTCTCTCTCTCTCTCTCTCTCTCTCTCTCTCTCTCTTTCTCTTTCTCTCTCTCTTTCTCTCTCTCTCCCCCCTCCCTCTCACCCTCTCTCCCTCCCTCCCTCCCTCCCTCCCTCCCTCCCTCCCTCCCTCTCTCCCTCCCTCTCTCCCTCCCTCTCCCTTTCCCTCCCTCTCTCCCTCTCTCTTTCTCTCCCTCCTTCTCTCCCTCTCCTCTCTCCCTCTCTACCTCCTTCCCTCCAATTCTTCTATGATATCTATGACTTGGATTTCCTATTGGCATCCCAAAGCTGCACTTGATATGAAGTTATTGAGTTATGGATCATACGAGACGCGAATGATTTTTTTTTCTAGGACGTCGTATCATTTTTCATTGATTTTGCAACATGCTAGATAACTCTCTTTCCCTCTCCCTCCCCCTCTCCCCCTTAAGTGCGCCAACATTAGTATTAGTATTAGTATTGTTGTTACTATCGTTGTTGTTCTCATGAAATATTGTTATTATAAGTATTACTATACCATTATCATTATTAACTTTATTTTTACTACTACTACTTCTACTACTGCTATTGCTGTTGTTCTTATTGCTATTATTTTCATTCATTTATTTTCATTTATTTTCATTATCATTATTATAACGATGTATTATTTATTAAATACTGATGTTGTTGGTGTTGCTATTATTATTAAATTTGTTATTAACATTATGCCTCAGCTACGAGTGTTGGAGTGAGGCGAGGGGGGGGTCTGGTAGGGGGAGGAGGGGAAGAGAGGAGGGAGGGGGGAGGGGGGGAGTATTTAATCAAAACTCGTTGGAATTCCGATCATTTACGTGGCGAAGCGCGGAGAGGGAGGGTTGTTAATTCGGCGGAAATCATTGCCAGACGGTGTTTTCTCTCTGTCTCTCTCTCTTTCTTTCTTTCTTTGTTTTCTTTTTTTTTATTGATTTAGACATCTCCACTTATGTGTGTGTGTTTGTGTGTGTGGGCGTGCGGGCGTGTGTGTGTGAGTGAGTGTGTATGTGTGAGTGTGTGTGTGTGTGTGTGTGTGTGTGTGTGTGTGTGTGTTAATGTTTGTATAGAAAGACGGATATTCTTCCCACTATTAAAATATGGAGTGCGGATACCGTAGATTCCTTGCAGTTTTCGAAACGAAGTAAAGATAACCCGTGACATATTGGACGTAATGATTATTAAGAGCGGGTGAATTTAAAGAGAAAAAAAACTGGAAGAGAAGACGAAGGCAAGGCTGACACTAAAGCGTTCTTGCAAGGTTAATTAAGCTAATGGGATATGCACGGAGTGATGACGTCATTATGACACACGGACTCGTTGTGGCAAGATGTAGCACTTATTGCATGACACAGCAGCATGACACAATATAGGATAAAGTGTTTAGGTATCATATTGATATTGGATTGTTTAGATATTGCATTTGATAGGGTATTTTGTTGCACAATGAGAATAGATCGGCAGCTTTGTCGATGTCGAAAATGAAATTGAAATTGTCATTGTTGGTCTTTACTTAATATTAATTCCTTTGGTCGTAGGAATAGGCCCAGAGACTAGCCTGTGTGGAAGCGATGCGGGGTTTGATCTGTCGGGGAGGTGATCGCGTTTACGTATGCTGGAGGGTCGGCGGCGCAGAGTGCATTCTCCGGTTCTAGAGTTGCTTGCTCTGTTTTCTTTCGCGACCTCCTTATTTCACTACGTTTCTTTGTTTCTCTGTCTATATATGTATCTCTGTATCTCTCTCTCTCTCTCTCTCTCTCTCCTCAGTGTATAAATAGATAGAAAGATATAGCTATACTGGCAGATAGATATGTATCTTTATATGTATAGGAGTTTGCGTCTAACTGTATATTTTGCCTTTTTTCTTGCGCATATTTTACCGAAGTCTAATCTGTGTGTGTCTTTCAGGCATCCTGGTGATCGCGTCGGCCGTGCTGGCGCTGGGCGGCGCTCTCGACATGGCCAAGATCCAGGGCAAGAATCTGCTCTTCACGTCGTCAACCTTAGGATGGGAGGACATGAAGGCGGGCGACGTCCCCCCCGCGCACGCCGTCCCCGTGGTCAAGGACGGACCGCTTTGGTGCCGCGCCAAGACCCACGCCACGTGGATCGCCGGCTCGGTCGTCGACGGCAAGTGCAGGACGACCTTCGTGAAACGTATACTCGAAGTCAAGGAATACGATGTCCTCGTGTCTGTCAACGACTCCGCCAGGGTGTTGGAGGTCGAGTGGGACCGGCTCACGGCCATGCCTTCCAACGGCATCGCCACTCCGAACATGATCATGGCCATTTCCGACCATAACGACACCATCCTGGCTGGCTACGTCTCCCCAGGCGAGCGGCGCGCCCACTTCGTCAAGGACGGCAAGGCTACCAGTCAGGACAATGCGCTCATCTTGACGGAGGATGAACCCATCCGCTACGAGGTGGACCGCATTTTGCGCGACGAAGATAGAAGCCAGGTCACCGACAATGACGTCGAGGTCGGCAACTCGACTCTGGTCAACAATGAGGAAGAGGAGAAGCTGGTGTCGACTATGGTGGACTACGTATCCCGGGAGAACATCTACTGGGGTCGCGTTCGGGGGACCATCACCGCCCTGGCTTCCACCGTCACTGACCCCTCGGGAGTGAAGAGAGAGATCACCTGGGGCATGGACAACGAATTGGACCATATGGAGCAGCAGAAGGTGGAATATAAACTGCCAGCTGGAGCCGCCGTTCAGGTCAGTTTGATCGCCGTCATGAGGAAGTATGAAGCTCCCTACTCCGCCCTGCTGACGGCCATCTACAGCGACAGCGTCCGCCGGTCCTGGAACATCGAGGGCCTCCACATTCACACCTACCTGGCTGAGCTCCGGGCAGAGTTTTCGAAGCCTTACTACCTTACCAACGACACGGAGATCGAGGGAGATTTCCCCACCTCCCAGATCCTGCTCCACTCAACCACCACGACCACCACCACGACCACCACCACCCAGACGCCCTCAGACTCCAAAGACAACGAGGACAGCCCTGTATCGGAGTCGCTGGCCACAACCGACGGAGACAACCAGACCACCGGGGATGCCAGCAGCGTGTCTAGGCTCATGCCCCCAGTGCTGGCCATGTGTGCGTCATTACTGATGGCTGCTAACGCCTTCTTCCTTTCCTAAATAACGGAGATTGCCCGCAGCGGCCGCGAACGCCAATGGGCACGTGTCACGTCCTCGAAAAGCATCTCAAGACTCATGGTTTGGAACAGTATGGAAGTATTCACGGATTCAGCTGTGTTTGGCTTCGGCCTTGCAAAAAAAGGACCCGATTCGGTTGTAAAGGTCATCATTAAGTGGACCGAAAGCCATGCTCGATTTCACAAGATGAATGTATTTTAAAAGCTTTTTTCATCTCATAGTGTCTCACATAGCCTTGAGGAAGTTATGTATATGTACTGTTGTATAAAAAAACAAGTTTAAGGGCTAACAAGATTAGTATTCTGCATTACTCTTCTTCCAGTGCGAAGTTGCACCTTCAGCATCTCTTTCCACTCCTCATTCTGACGTGAATCTCCACAGTCTTCACTGTTGTTTCGTGAACGTTTTTAGTGTGAACAACATATTGATGTATTGTGTCTATGTGAAGCCTATTAATCTTAGCTTGTTCAACGAGCAAAACAGCCTTATAGACATTAGTATGATCTACTATCTGTCTCGTAGCATCTAGGCTGTACAAGTTCACGTCTGATGAGTGTTTTATCTCCATGTTGGCTGGTCCAGAATCCAAGATGTACCGAATTTGAGACATGGGTGCAGATCTCTTCTTTCACAGTA